TCGCCGAAGCCCTGGGAGATGCGCTGCAGGGATGGCAGAGGTGGAGGAGCGCTGGTTGCGGATCAGGGAGCCACAGCTCAACCTGAGCCCGGCCGCCTTCCCCCCAGCTGCTGGGGACAGGCTGCGTGGAGAGGGCAGCCATAGGGGAGGGTTTAATTCCAATACAGAAGCAGCCAGCTGAGCCCACGGCATTCACCACCACAGAAGGCATGGGACACAGCATCAGCTCGCTCCTGAGGAGCACAGGAGTTTGGCACACCAGCAAGAGGAAAAAAAAAAAAAAAGAAGAGAAAAAGAAGGCACCCACAGCCACCTGGAGAAGCAGGGAGCCCAGCCAGTGCAGCCCAAAACGCCAAATCCACACCCCATCCCAGTACATTTCCACTGTTCACATCTATTCAGTCAACTACAGTTGAAGGGATTAAGGCATGTGTATTTTTGTATTAACACGGTCAGTACAAATGCCAGCAACTTCCCTCTAGATGTACCCAAGCTCCTTTCCTGTTGACGGGCGCACACAAGACAGACAAGACTGGCAAGCCCAGAGGAAGCCGGTTGGTATTTTCCAGTTCAAACATGGGACAGGCAGTCCTCAACTGTGCTCCCGTGGAGGTGGACAGCAGCAATCGTGCCTGTCACCACATCATTGGAAGACACCAATAATTTATTGAAATAAATACAGGTAACAAACCAAACAGCCTCTGGGTTTAAACACTACACATACATCAGGTACAATTTCTCTACGCTCTCGGGAAAAGCATGGTGATACACCGATTTTTGGCCACATGAGCCTTTGCCAAGTCTGGAGCAGCCAGATATGTGCTGGAGATTGGAGGTGGAGGCTCCCAACTTGTCACGCATTGGGCTTCGTTGTAGGAAGGAGTCTGGTTTCAGGAGGATTTCTTTCTTCTTTGTAAGAGTGAATCTTTTTTTTTTTTCTTCTTTTTTTTTTTTTTTAAAACCAAAAAAGGTTAAACCCCAAGTCCACGTTGGCAAGCTGCAAGCTGAAGGGGGGGCTCTGTTTGGATGAGGCCCTTCAGAAGCAAAGGCTGCTCTGCGAGAGCAACCCCGGCAAACCCAGGACTGACCAGGGAAAGCGAGCCTGGCTCTCCAGCCAGAGAGCCACCGTGTCCATGCTGGGGCTGGCTGGTCCCAGCCTCCAAACTGGCATCCGTGTGACCTTGGGACCCAGTGGGGACAGCAATGTGGACGCTTCACAAACCTCCTTCCTCTGCCAGGACCGCCCCGGCTACGTCTGTCCTCGGCTGCCACAGTTCTCCAGGGCACAGCCCTCCACCGACAGCTCCGGGCAGACACCGGGAGCACAGAGGCCAGAGGACGGCAGTCAAGCAGGGAAATCCAGTCAATGATAACAAGGGGAGAGTCTTCAGCTCAGACCGGCCCTCAAAACTCATGTTTCCACTACTCGAATGAGAGGCAGCGGCTTGGGGCCCGTCAGCCTTTTGCTGCAAGAGAGAAAGGATTTGTTCAGGCAGACAAACTGGATGGGGTTTGAGGGGAAAACCTGCGGGAGAGATCCTGCCCCAGCCCTGGTCAGTGATGGCTCCTCCCAAAACTGCCCACAGGAGGGACCTCTGCTCCCCCATACTCCCCTGAAGGAAGAATGCAGGAATGGAGACCTCTCTGCAAACAGAAAAAAAATGCAGCACACTTCCAGAAGAGCATCCCCGAGTCCAGCGTCATCTCCCAGACTGCAGCTCCTGCTGCCCCAGCTAAGACATGGCCCTGCAGATGAAGCCGCTGAACAGCCAGGCAGGCTCCCCCTGTTGCTGGGGGTTACGGGCTCCCCACGTACCTGCTCACATACTCCGACTTCGAGCGCACTCTGGAGCTGTGGCCGCCTCGACTGACTTGCTTCTCGATCAAGTGCTCTATGCGGTCGTGCATCTCCAGGTTCTGCAAGAGATGTAGCCACGGTTAGCAATGGGCAGCTGGGAACCGGCAGGCTGTGGGCACCAGGGTCTCTTGCCAAGGAATGCTCCAGTACAGTCTCTTGCATTGGGGCAGCTTTTTCTTGAAGGAAATGAAACCCAGCCCTACGTAGGGACTGTTCACCAAAGGAGAGCTGGGATGGTTTGCAAGACCTGCTGAATGCCCAACAGAAACCCACCAGCACACAATCTCTCTCGCTGGATGTTTTCCCCTTGGGTTCACGGCTGGCTGTGCTCACACGCACCATCCCCATGCAGAAATTAGCAAAGTCAGTCACCAAGGAGGGAAGAAAACACTAGAAGTGCCAATGCAGGCTCAGTTTTTATCCAAAAAAGGAGACAGGTTTGACACTTGTTACAATCCTAGAGGCTGGAATGCAATTTTCATTTCTGACATGCACGCACTCAGCTGCAGCTTTGTAAGCAAGAAGGGCTTTGCTGCTAGAGAAATGTGCTTGATGAGATTATTTTGGACTCTGCTCGAGTTCACAGATGCTCCAGCAACTCCGGCTGCATTGGAAACCATCACACCAGCTCAGAGAGCCAGCAAAGCCCTCGGGGCTGCGGAGGGCATATTTTCCTACGCGAAGGAGGTTGAGTGCAAGGGAAGGGCTTTGCTGCCAGCCGCTCTGCTCAAAGCGGAGTTCATCACCATGAGGGAGCCCAGCCACGACCCGCAGGCCTGCAAAGCCAGTCACACCGTAGGGTTTCAACCAGAGGGTCTGAGCTTGGAGCGGACCCCGTGCACGCCCCGAAACGGCCCTGCTAAGACGCACCTCAGCCTCCAAGTATGCGACTCTCTCCTTGAGCTCCTGGATCACGGCATCTTTGGCCTGAATCACCGTTTTGGAGTTCTGGAGCTGTAAAAGGAAAGTTCACAGTGGCTGAAAATCCCTCTCGTGTATGGCTGGGCTGGAGAAACATCTAGGAAGGAGGACAGCTTAGCCAGCCACCCTTCTGCCTGTTAACACCCACAACATTAACTCCAAGGTCTGCACAAAAAACAATCAAAAAAAAAGCCTCAAATGAAGTCTGAGAATTAAGCCCCAGGTGAAGGAGCCTCCGCTCACACAGCTTGAGATTTAACTCTTTCAGCAGGCCAAGCTGGGTGCCCAGCACTGCTTTTACACTCCTTTTATGACCTTCCCCAGCCCAGGGCAGCTCGCGCCGCAGCCCTTTGGGCTGTCGCCCCGGGGTCACTCCCCGCTGCAGGACAGGGCTCTGGGCTGCCTTTGAACTTGTGTCCCTTTGGTTGGCAAAGGGACTCAGCCCCACAAACCAGCAATTCTTTGCTTCCAAGCAGCTCAAGAATTTTTTTTTTCCCCTCCTTTCTCTTTAAGTCCCCGCTGAGTCCTCCCAGGCTCTCCCTGATCCATCCTCCCAGCCCTGCTCCTGCTCCTCTCACCTGCTCGATCATCTGGCGGACTTTGCGTTGCTGGCTTTTCAGCATGTCGTCCAGGTGGTGTATCTTCTCCCGCAGCGTGGCCACCTCCTTCTCCAGCTGGGCTGACCTGGGAAAAGGAGAGTATAAGAGTCCAGGAGCCCTCAGATGGCTTCCCAGAAAGGGAGCACCCACCCAGCTATGCCTAGAGCAGCTTTTATCAGCCAGGGCTCCTCTACAGCCACATAGGTCTTGAAATATTTTGACTAGACAAGGTAAGGAGAGGCAGAGACAAAACCTATTCAAGCAGGAGCCACAAAGACTAGCAACCACAGACTGCAGGGACACAGGAACATCAGGAAGAGTCAGGCCACAAACAAGGCCTTCCAGAAACAAGCCATTGCCAATTAGCCCCTGGAGCACAAGGATACCGGCTGGGTGGAATGAATCCAACGTTACGGGGAGAATTGGCTGCTCCGGAGGCTCCCTAAGCAGGGCAGGACCTGCCCTGAGCTCCCAGCCTGCAGCGGGGCCGCTAGAGGTCTCTGGGCAGCCCAGCTCTGGAGCTCCGGATCTCTCCGAGCAGGGCAAAACTGCAGGAGGTATTTGGAGATTAGTCAGCTCTTGGGAGTAGGGTGCTGTTTTGCAAGCCAGAGAGCAAGCACGCCCTTCGCAGGAATGTGCAGTCATGCCCCAGCGAGCTGACACCCCGACCCAGCGGCGTGGGCTTGCTCTGGAGTTGGCAGCCACGCCGGAGGCCAAGCCTCACCGGTCTTGTTCGGCGAGCTTGTCACCTTCCACGCTTCTCAGCCTCGCCAGCTCTGCTTCGCCTTCTTTCATCTTCAGCAGCAAACTCCTGTGCTCCTGCGGCAGAGCGAGAGGCCGAGTTACACGCACGGAAACAAGTCGCAACACATGCTCCTTGGCCTCCGCTGCACAGCGGCGAACTACAAACACCCAGGGAGCCAGGCAGGCTCAGCTCAGCCTCCCCGCTCAATCTGCAGGTTGTTTTCATGAGCATTAAATTTACATGCGAGAGACAGACAGACAGGAGCAGCCGCAGAGATGACCGACAGCAGACGTCCCACTCCTTTACCCCTAGGTTACAGGCAAGGTACCAACCCATCTCCTTCCCTGCTGTCAGGCCAGGGAAGGCAGTCCCAGGTCACTTCATGCTCATACTGCACTGTTAGATTTATGACTTTAATGTTATTATGAACAGACCACAGCTGAAAAAAAAAAATAATCAAGGCTGGAGGTTGCGTTAATGCCCCCATGAGAAGAAGAACCGGGTGGCTGTCTAGACTGTGCGCTTATTTCCAGGATACCTGGAAGAGTTTGCACAGACCAACCAGATCTTCTAGACCTGAGAAATGCAAGTCTAAATCAGCAACAGTTGATTTTCAGCCGTTCCCAGCAGCTGCCTTTGCCCCGATGCTTTTGGGTTAAACCTGCTTGGGAAGTCAAACCCTCCGTGTGTCGGGTACCCTGCAGCTGGTCCAAGACCCGCTGCGGGGGTTCTGCGCTGAGCGCTGCCAAACTCATCACCACCAGGCTTTCCCATTCCCCCCGCAGCAGAGCGGGACCAGGCAGCTCCGCTAATCCCATCAGTCCCACCACAGCTTCAGGGCCGGTACCTTCTCCATCCCTGCCAGGAGTCTCTGCAGCTCATCCACCTGCACCTCCTTCTCCACCACGCTCTTCTCCGCTTTCCGCAGGGCAGAGCTTGTCTGCTCTGCTTCCTCCTGGTACTGCGAGACCGTCCTCTGCAAACAAGATGGAGATGCCTTTACCCCTGGCCCTCACGTGCCCGGACGCCCAAGCCACCGGAGCCCTTCTCCCAAGCAATGTTTTGAAGCCGCACCGGTGCTCGAAGCCTTGGCAGGCAGATTTTGCTGAAGGCAGCCGGGCGTCTCAGCAAACAGCCCGACGTGCTTCAGAGAGAAGAGCTTCTTCAGAAAGCTCCCCGCTTCAAAGCACTTCAAAGGAGCGAGCGCTTAAATGCTGTAGCAATAAAGGCTCCTCAAATGCAAGAGACATGTTCGTTCTCAGCCACACGCACGCTGGGGCTGTTTGCAGGCTCCTCTCAGGCCACCTGCCCAAGGAACCGACCTTGGCAGCCAGCCCCACGCCTGCATCAACGGCTCAGAAGCTGAGAGGGGACAAAGGTGTCCCTGTGGGTCGCCACGACAGCTGGAGAGCAGGCGCAGGCACAGCGAGAATATCTGGGCAGTACTGGCAGGGGCAAACCCACCCCTGCCATCCCCGGGATCTCCATCCAGGCTAAGAGCCCACAGTCAGCATCACAGCTGACCAAAGACCCCAAAATGCCACCAAACCACACGACTTCCCACGTGCAAGGACAGGCATCCTCGGGGCACGTGCCACCACTGCGTGCGGCCGGACGTCCCGGTGCCAGAGGAAGCGGTCACCGCTCAAACCCACTTCCCCAGCAGATGCTGTCCCCTGCCCTGCTGCGGGGAACCCCCCAGGGTTCCTGGGACCAGTTTGGTCTGCGGGACAGGATGCGAAGCGGGACGTCACCGCTGCCACCAGCGCTCAGAGCTACAGGGTGACGTGGTCAGGCCCAGCCCATCCGGGACATGAGCAGTCACTAGAAAACACACCGAAGGGGACCATTAATCACCAGGGCTGGGGAAGGGAGGAAAGCGAATGTGGCAGCTTCGTCAGCACCACTCGGCAGGCAAGGAGACCCGCGCGATGCGTCCAGGTGCCTCCCGGTCAGCTCGCCCTTCTCTACAGCAAACAGCCCCGCAGAGGCATGTAGTTAGCAATAGGACGAGAGGAAATGGGCTCAGGCTACATCAGGGGAGGTTTAGATTGGATATTAGGAAAAATTTCTTCACGGAAAGGGTAGTCAAGCATTGGAACAGGCTGCCCAGAGAGGTGGGGGAGTCCCCATCCCTGGAAACATTCAAAAAACGGGTAGACGTGGCACTCTGGGACATGGTTTAGTCTAGTCTACCCTTGACTGGTTTAGTGTGGACTTGGCAGTGTAGGTTAATGGTTGGACTGGATGATCTTAAAGGTCTTTTCCAACCTAAACGATTCGATGATTCTATGAAGAGGCTGAGCTCCAAGAGAGACCACAACAGCCAGCACCAGCCCAGCACCGTGTCTGAGAACCACGGACTTGGTCTCAGGTCGACCCACTGGGACACCCCGGAGGTCCCCGCTGCCCACAAAACACCCCTCTCACGCACCGAGCCTGGCTATGGTTGGAAAGGCTCGGCAGAGTTTGGGTGGACTGCCTTCCAACCTGGCTGCTGCTTTTATTTTATGTGATTTTTAACTGGGACAGCATTTATGTCTTCAGACTCGTCTGGGCAAGCAGGAAGGCAGTTTGCTGGGGTTTGGCCAGGTCTGGACTCCCCCCGCGTATCATAACCGTGTGCACCGAGCCCGCTGCTCTGCAAGGAGAAGCCAGACACCTCAGCAGCCCAAACTCGTGTGCCCATGCAGCTCCTCAGACTTCCAAAAAGAAAAAAAATACCAAAATAAAACAAAAATCACGCTTTCCCAGCAGAGAAGCGCACAGTGTAGTCACCTCAAAGGCTTGTTTTTCCAACTGATGGCGCTTTTCAGCCTCCTGCAGCTTTGTGAACAGCCTCTTTGCCGTCTGTCGGATCTTTTCCACATCTTCACCTGAGCAGTCCTCCTCCTGTGGAGATGGTAACAGGAGAGGATGAGCAGTCAGGCGTTATCAAAGGAGCCCTCCGCCCCAATGTGGGCAGCGCTGTTGGTGACAAAGCCTGCTAACATCGCTTCTCAGCTTGAAAAAATGAAAGGCGCTCCTGTCCTCGCCTCCCACACTTGAGCGACAGCTTCCAGCCCTCAAGACAAAGCGCACAGTATCCTTTGGTTGCCTTCCAAGCCCTGTTTGCAGGATGCTATCCTGATCCGCGCTTGGGCAACCTGAAACCCTGCAACGTAAACCAGGGCCACAGCAACCCAGCCCGAAACCCCAGCCCAGAGCATCTGCCCAGCCAGGGGAAAGATGAAGAGCTGGAGAAATGGTTGGACTGGATGATCTTAAAGGTCTTTTCCAACCTAAACAATTCCATGATTCTATGAAATATTTACCAGCTTAAGATTCCTGTTATCCCTTCTGCTAAAGAGCGCTCGTGTGCAGAGGTTTAAAAACCCATTATGCACATTTTTATTGCTCTAATAGAGCTGCATTCCATTGCTGATCCGACCCTGATAAAAAGACCAGAGTTTGCTGCAGAAGCACCTGATCGCGTGCTGAACTGGTTCAAAGTTACCTGCTGGGAGGAAGATATCAAACTAAAACCGATATTTCTTTCCATAGCGCTGAAATCGCTCTCTTTAGCCCCATACCTGGTCCTCCCAGGAACCGGCACGCAGCCTCTCGGGGTAGAGCCAGCTCCCGTTCTGCTTTTCCAGCATGACCTACGTAAGCAAAGGACAGACGGACAGGGATGTAACACCGGCCGGCAAAGCCACTGGCGCGAGAGCGCAGTCGCATGCAGACAGCTAGCTCTGGGGCACCGCAGCAACTCGAGACCGAGGCTTTTTCTGCAAACGAACATGCAATAGTGCATTTGGCCAGCCAATGCGTTTTGCTTACTGACTCCTCATTACGTGCTTGTGTGGGCTTCGAATTTCGCCTGCAAACGGTGCCAACGTGGCTTTCATGCGCCACGAGCGCCTCGATCTTTAAGGCCCCTTCTATCATTTTCCGGACCCAAAGATGACATCTTTTTAATAAGTCAATGTCATTTAACGCCCGAGAAATGCTCCCGTTACCTGTGCATGCTGTTTATCTCCTTGTCTGTTCTCAAGTTTACTACTTAAGTCTTCCCGCAGCTTCTTCAAAGAACTTCTAGCCTGGCAAAGGCAAGTCAATTTAGCTTGATCTGCATGGACAGTGTCACTCAGCCTAACAGAAATCAAACGAAGGCGCGGCGGCTGCCACGATGCCCTGCGCCGATACGCAATCGATGGCTTCTCTGCCAGCCTGACCCTCTGGTTTTACTACAGCCCTGCCTGCAAGCAGCACCATCTCTGGCAGATATGATCCTTGCGAGGCAGCTGTCCCACACGCTCATGGGAAGAAAAAAAAAAAATTAAAAAAAAAGCAACAATCTGGAGACGCTACTGATTTTTCATGCATTACTCATCGAGTTCACCTTTGAAGTGCTGAGAAGACCCTTGCTGTTCCCCAGCTCCCTCTCTGCCACGCTGCAGGACGCCGACAAGTACAGTCTTGACTTGCAGCTACTTGAATTAGTCAGAGCAAGTGAGCCAGAGGAATGATTTACAGGCTTTTACAGCAAACGCTGCCCCAATGCTTTTCAAAGAAAAGCTTTCTCAAAGCATTAACAGCGTGGCTTCGTCCCTACCCCTTGATTTTAGATGCCCGAGGCGCTGGGGCGAAGCAGTTTGCTGGAGACCGGGCAGCAGCAGAACAAGGGACAAGGCGAGAGCACGATGTACGGCTCTCGGGTCAGCAATCGAGCCCTTAACCCGGGGACAACGATCCATGACTTTGATCCAGCCGGATCAAGGCACCCCCAGGGTTTTGACACCACGACCCAGCGCAGGGCACTTCTCTTGGATGCGGACAGACTGGTACCGCCACCGTGACTTACTGGTTTAGCTTATTCTCTGGTTTTCACATGCAGGATTAAGTTGTACTGCACGGTTATGCCGCTTCAGCTATTCTGATAGGGCTACGTACAGCCTTTGTGGCCAGACGAGGTCTAAGTCCCGCTCAACTGTTGCTAAGAGGCCCTTTTAAAACCTGACTCCTGTTTCCATCCGAGCTGTGAGGAGCCATGGGAAAGCTCAGATCAGAAGAGCTGAAGTCGAAGCCCCAGGAGTGGGAAGGATCATGCACAAAATCTGCAGCATCCAGGTGGCTGCGAGATAAGGTCTGGGTGAGCAACACCCCCGGAGCGCTGCAGCCCTGGGCAGGCGGGAGCCAGGCAGGTCTGGGTTGCAGGCGGGAGGCAGCGGGAACAGGCTGTTTTCTTTCGGCGGGGAGCGGGGGAAACATGCGTTTTGGCAGAGGAGTCAGAAGGATGACGTAAAAGATCTGGAGGCCGCCGTACCAGATCTGCCCCTCGCTGCTCCCTGGGGCCAGCACCCAGCACAGAAACTCCCACGTGAGAGCAAACCCCAATTTTTTTTTTTTTCCCCCCTTTTTCTCTTTTTTTCTTTAGGCCAAGCTGCCCAGACCAAAACATGCACGCAACCACTTCCACGCCTTGCAACCAGCTCTCCAGAAATAACATCCCCACCAGGAGCAGAGGAAAGGGTTAATCTTCCAAGAGCCTCATCATCCAGTTTACTTTGGGAGATGAGACATACCAAAGAAACTGCCTTTTAACAAGAGGCTCCGGTTTTGCCGCACCCAGGCATGCAGGGGACAGCCTTGGGGGAAAGTCATCACGCAATTCTCTTCAAATTCAGTCCATATAGCAGAGCAATTAGTCAGGCTGAATTAATTTATGGCGCTTGATTAGACTACTGCCCTGTACGGGCAAGTCAACAAACTGCAGAGTTCAGCTCAGCTGCCAGTTTGCCAGAGTAGCTGGGGCTCAGCCGGGGCTCAAGTGCCGCAGCCGGCGCGGGCGTCGCTGCCCGCTTGCGTGAAACCCCGCGGGACATCCCGGGG